GCATTAATGTAAAAAAAGAATTAAAGCATATCTTTCTTTAAGGTATATCACTTTCAGTTTAAGCAGGTTATGAGTTTATATATTTAAGTACTGAAAGCATTCAAATCAAGGATGCATTAACCGTGATACGTATGTTAAGTAACGGGCAACTTTTTTAAGAATCAATGTGAACAAAAATTTAAAGAAAGAGAAATTGGTCATTTCAGACATGTGTACTGTTTCTGAAAGTGTTAAAAATGCATAATCAACGACAAGGTTTACTAAATTTTACCTACGAAATATCAGTACATCATGGAATCATACGTCATTCTGCAATAATGATTTAGCGAACATGTTGATTAAATTCTACAGCAAAACTTTTCCTACATATTATCATTATTATTTACTTGGAAAAAAATAATGATGAACAAAATGGAAAATCTAAAATGTTTTTTTTATTATCTCTCACATTGTTGCCGGTTTTGTTGTTGGTTGACAAGTATTAGTTTTTTTTTTCAGACTGATGGGAGACATATTATCGTGTTTCCAACCTGGCACAACAACTTATCAGTTACAAGCAATGATAATTTGTTTTACAGCCACTATGAAATAATGTGGACACTAAATAGAATATGGTAACATTTTATCACCACTATCTGCATGAGACACAGTGTTAATTCCGCAGACATTATAATGATAAATCTCAATTAATACAAAATGTAATATAAAGATTCTCAGAGAGGAAAACAAAAACAGTGTTTAAAATGCTAAATTTGTTTAATAGATTCTGTCATGTATTTTATTTGGAACTATTCATTAAAACATTTGGATTTTAAATATAAAATATCAATAATTATATTATATTATAGGTGGTATTCAAACTACACGCGTGCGCAATCGTAACAACTCGGCAATCTCCGTCAATTCTTGACGTCGCCCGAGGTGTTCCGATTGGACTATGCTGGCGACAATGTCGTTACATAAGGGAGATAACTGATTCTGCACTTAAATAAAATAAGATTAATTTCCCTTGATTTGAAAAAGATTTTTTTTCTCACTAGGCCGGATTAATAAAACGCATTTGTTTCCTGTCTTCTGATCAATGTGCAAACAATTCTAAATGACATTTTTCAGGCATATATATTTTATTGTCTGTATTAATTTACTTAAAACTGGCCTCTGAAACAATTTAATAAGCTGTATATGCTTATTTTTCGTTACAAAATCAATGATTGGCCAATTTGCTTTCATGACTTCATCAAGGAATGAATACTTATCTATCTGTCCAGGAAATACTTTGTGTGACGTATCCTAATCGCAATATACTTGCAAAGTGTCAAAAACAAGTATTATGTACTGAAAACTGTATCACTGTTGATAGGCGTACAATAACCAAACCGACTTTTTTAATCGGGCCTTATAGAAACAGAAATTCATTTCAAAAAGAGGGAGAGTAATCTTACTGATAGTCAGTTAACTCCCTTTGATAAAAAAATGTTTTTTTTTCCTTAGATGCTCGCTTAGGGTGTAAGATGTCCCTGGTTCGTATCCCAGTCCTGGCATTTGAAAATCATTAGTCTCTTTTTTTTTTACATTTTTTTGATCAATTTTTACTCTAAAACAAAAGTATTAGTTATTATATACATATACAACTTTTTTTTAAAGATATTTTTTTATTTTTAAATTCTTAAATTCTTAAGAACTAATTCAGTAGATCGTACTTCTATTTTTTCCATATAGTGTTACACTAATCTGTTTCATAGTTCATGGACACATTTAACTTGCTATTTAATTAATATTAGGAATTTAATATCAAAGCCTTAACTGAGTGGGGCTCTCACATTAAGCCTGGTACTGTAAGCTGTAAAAGATTTCCGCCATACTTAAGTTATTTAAGGTGTTTGGATTAAAATATCATGTATTATTTTTACTGGTGGCACGATGATGAAAACGTGATGATTACGCGATGATAAAAACGTGATAGTACGATGATGAAATCCCGATGATGTTATTGGACGGTAGTGCTCCGCTATAGAGGTATGGGACGATGGTGAAATAGTGATATAATAAAGCATTTTCATCATTGTGCCATTGCTGTATCACAATCGAGCCGTCTGCCACTACGATTTCACCATCGTGGTATCGCGATTTTGCCATTGCACTATAATATGGTATCGCGATTTTGCCATTTCAATTATGCTTAAACGAAAAAAGCCATCGGGTTTACAACGTTATAACCGAAATCATGCCATATTGTTTATAACATTGAACTATCGCCTTTTCACAATCGTACCATCATCGCCTTTTCACCATCGTACCATCATCGTCTTTTTACCATCGTACCATCATCCTCTGTTCACTATCGTACCATTATCGCTTTTGTACCATCGTACGATCATCGCCTTTTCACCATCGTACGATCATCGCCTCTTCACCATCGTACCATCATCGTCTTTTCACCATCGTACCATCAGCGCCTTTTCACCATCGTATCATCATCGTCTTTTCACCATCGTACCATCATCGTCTTTTCACACACGTAGTATCATCGCCTTTTTACCATCGTACCATCATCATCTGTTCACTATCGCACCATTATCGCTTTTGTACCATCGTACGATCATCGCCTTTTCACCATCGTACGATCATCGCCTCTTCACCATCGTACCATCATCCTCTTTTCACCATCGTACCATCAGCGCCTTTTCACCATCGCATCATCATCGTCTTTCACCATCGTATCATCATCGTCTTTTCACACACGTATCATCATCGCCTTTTAACCATCGTATCATCATCGTCTTTTAACCATCGTACAATCATTGCCTTTTCACCATCGTACCATCATCGCCTTTTTACCATCGTACCATCATCGTCTTTTCACACGCGTATCATCATCGTCTTTTCGCCATCGTACCATCATCGTCTTTTCACACACGTATCATCACCGCCTTTTAACCATCGTATCATCATCGTCTTTTAACCATCGTACAATCATTGCCTTTTCACCATCGTACAATCATTGCCTTTTGCCTTTTACCATCGTACAATCATCGCCTTTTAACCATCGTACAATCATCGCCTTTTCACCATCGTACCATAATCGTCTTTTCACACACGTATCATCATCGCCTTTTAACCATCGTATTATCATCGCCATTTAACCATCGTATCATCAACGCCTTTTAACCATCGTACAATCATTGCCTTTTAACCATCGTATCATCATCGCCTTTTCACCATCGTACAATCATCGCCTTTTCACCATCGCACCATTATCGCTTTTGCGCCATCGTACCATCACCAGACATTAAGTTTATAACAAATTAACTTTCATATTTTTGGAGTCCATGACCGCGTGGTTCAGATCATTGACTTGTCTCTCACTGCTGTGGAACCGATTCCTGCGAGCGACTTGTATTTTTTCATGTGAGGAAGCTATCAAGCTAATTAAGGAACATCGGCGGTTCAACTCTTTTTGACACTCGCAAAATTTTTGTGATGCAGAAATATCCATTTATACAGTATGTCTATGGCAAGTTGACTCCCCTTCCTCGAAACCAGTGGTAAGCACACTTGCCTTGCCCTATTCTGGTGGCAAGCACAGTTTCCTTGCCCTATACTGGCGGCAAGCTAACTTGCCTCGCTCTATACTGATGGCAAGCTTACTTGCCTTGGCAAGCTGACTTGTCTTGCCCTATACTGGTGGCCAGCACATATTCCTTGCCCTATACTGGTGGAAAGCACATTTTCCTTGCCCTATACTTGTGGCAAGCTGACTTGCCTTTCTCTATACTGGTGATAAGCTGACTTGCCTTACTCTATACTGGTGATAAGCTGACATGCCTTGACCTATACTGTTGGCTAGCTGACTTGCCTCGCTCTATATTGGTGGCGAGCTGACTTGCCTTTCTGTATACTTCTGGCAAGCTGACTTGCCTTACTCTATACTGGTGGCAAGCTGACGACTTGCCTTTCTCCATACTGGTGGCAAGCTGACTTGCCTTGCTCTCTACTGGTGGCAAGCTGACTTCTCTTGCTTTATCTTTATATTGGTGGCAAATTGACTTGCCTTACTCTATACTGGTGGCAAGCTGACTTGCCTTACTTTATATTTGTGGCAAGCTGCCTTTCTATATACTGGTGGTAAGCTGAAATGCCTCGCTCTATCCTGGTGGCAAGGTGACTTACCTTTCTCTATACTGGTGGCAAGCTAACTTGCTTTGTTCTTTTCTGGTGGCAAGCTTACTTGCCTTGCCTTATACTGGTGATCAGCTGACTTGCCTGGCTCTATTTGATATCCAGTATTTCTTAATAAAAACAAGAGAGCCATGATGGTCCTAGATGGCTCACCCAAGGTTCATTACTAGAAAATGTCACAATTCTTCAAGGCTGTGTTAAATGATAAGGTCATTTTAGATGTGCCGTTTGTGAGCAAATATGTGTAGATGTTTGCCATTTTTGGCCAAAGGGCCATGATTTATGTAACTTTTATAGAGGCCCACAAAGCAATGTTATGTGTGAAATCTTAGTGCATGAAATTATAGTGTCGCATGTGTTGTCCTGTAACCGATTAAACAAGACTGTTTCCTAGATGGGGCCAATTTTGACCCTAAAAACACGATTTATAGAATTTTTTGAGGACAACAAGGCATTGTAGTTCCAGACAAGAAGACTTAAATGTGTTTTCCTATATAAATCTATATGAACTAGTGTCAGGGCGAGGTAAATTTTGACCACAGGCTATTGAATTAAACAAAGAACTTTCTTTTAGCTTTTTTGACTACCTTGTACATCAGACTGGAACTATCTATTTAGAGGTCTACCTGTAGATTATACCTGTGAAGTTTTGTCAAAATCCATCTTGTAATTTAGAATGAAATTTTGTTTTAAAGTAGGGAATGTTGTTTTTAAGAAGGAAATTTTGCTTAACAACAGCTTGTCATCACTTTTTGATCAAGTCAGCTAAAAAGGCAGGAGCTTAACGGCTATCAATTAAAATAAAAGACAAAATGACCCAAAAGATTATCTATTTTTATAAACCATATACAACAAGCAAATTCGTTGAATTTATATCCCCGCCGAGTACTGGTTATTATTAACACAACAACTGAAGACATAAGGCTTTATTTATATATTAATCATTGCATAAACAGTAATATTCTTTGAACTTGATAAATATTCAGGGCAATAACAGGGACATAACTTTGTGTTAAATAGAAAAATCTGGAAATGCCAATGAGATGTATGCATACAACATAACTAATCAAGGGCCATAAATCTGAGTTATAAGTATCTGACTGGAACAAGGCGACTATATGCATATCTCCTCTTAGTATCCCATAAAGTTTCATTGAATTCCAGCCAGTAGTAGCAGAGAAGTAGCGAGGAAACAAATATTTTTCTATATGGATACTGCATAACTAATCAAGGGCCATAACTCTGAGTTAAAGTGTCTGACCGGAACAAGCCAACGATATGCGCATCTCCTCTTGGTATTGAAGGTTCCCATAAAGTTTCGTTGAATTCCAGCCAGTAGTTGCAGAGAAGTAGTGCGGAAACGATTTTTACTCTATATGCATACTACATAACTAATCAAGGGCCATAACTCTGAGTTAATGTGTCTGACCGGAACAAGCCGACGATATGCCCATCTCCTCTTGATATTGATGATTCCCATAAAGTTTCGTTGAATTCCAGCCAGTAGTTGCAGAGAACTACACCGGAAACGATTTTTACTCCATATGCATATTGCATAACTAATCAAGGGCCATTACTCTGAGTTAAAGTGTCTGACCCGAACAAGCCGACGATATGCGCATCTCCTCTTAGTATTGAAGGTTCCCATGAAATTTCGTTGAATTCCAGCCAGTAGTTGCAGAGAAGTAGCGCGGAAACGATTTTTACTCCATATGCATACTTCATAACTAATCAAGGGCCATAACTCTGAGTTAAAGTGTCTGACCGGAACAAGCCGACGATATGCGCATCTCTTCTTGATATTGATGATTCCCATGAAGTTTCGTTGAATTCCAGCCAGTAGTTGCAGAGAACTACTCCGGAAACGAAATTCGGACGGACGGACGGACAAACGGACGGACGGACGGTCAGATGCGCATCTCCTCTTGATATTGATGATTCCCATAAAGTTTCGTTGAATTCCAGCAAGTAGTTGCAGAGAACTACTCCGGAAACGAAATTCTGACGGACAGAAGGACGAACGGACGGACGGAAGGACGGACGGACAACGCCAAAACTATATCCCCCTCCCGATTCAATCGGCGGGGGATAAAAATAACAACACATTGTCACAAAAGATATTGTGCATCAAAATTAATATAATAGTATTTAATAATAACAAGAATTTGTAACAGAGTTACCAACGTCCCCCGCCTCGGGAAATTTTATATGAAGCATAAAATTGTGCTATTTCAAAAGATTGAGGTTATAATGGATCTCAGGACATTTACTCCAAAATTATGATCAATGCTAGATCTGCAAATGTAACAATAAATTTGTTAAAAAAATAAAATGAAACACGGAATTTAAAAATCTCTCATGTTAAGATTTGACCTCTTAGTGTGACCTTGACCTTGGAGGTAGGGGAGCAGGTGTTGTGCATGACATAACGTCTTATTATTGAGACTATTTGTGCCAAGTATTTTCAAAATCCCTTGAACTATGAAGAAGTTATAGATTGGACACAAAATATACCCTTATAATAACAGACTATGTAAATCTTTGATCTCTAAGTGTGACCTTGACCTTGGAGGTAGGGACACAGATGTTACGCATGACATATCATCTAATCATTGTGACTATTTGTCCCAAGTATTTTCAAAATCCCTTAATCTATGAAGAAGTAATGGACGGGACAAAAAAAATATACCAAATAACAGACTCTGTTAACATTTGACCTCTAAGTGTGACCTCGACCTTGGATGTAGGGGTGCAGGTGTTGTACCTTACAATATTGTCTTATTATGGTGACTATTTGTGCCAAGTTATTTTAAAATCCCTTGAACTATGAAGAAGTTCTAGATTTGACACAAATATACCCTATAACAGACTATGTTAATTTTTGACCCCTAAGTGTGACCTTGACCTTGGAGGTAGGGATGCAGGTGTTGCGCATGACACATCCTCTTATTATAGTGACTTTTTGTGCATAGTATTTTCAAAATCCTTGGATCTATGAAAAAGTTATGGACCGGACACAAAATATACCCTGTAACAGACTATGTAAGTATTTGACCTCCAAGTGTGACCTTGACCTTGGAGGTAGGTGACCGTTTTTTGCGCATGACACATCGTCTGATTATTGTGAACAATTATGGCAAGTTTTTACAAAATCCCTTTCATAGATAAGAAAGTTATGGACCGGACACGACATATACCCTCAAATAGACAATGTTAACCTTGAATGAGCAAGTACGACCTTGACCCTGAAGGTACGGATCTGGTTGTTGCGCATGACACATCCTCTTATTATAACAAACATTTGTGCCAAGTTATTTCAAATTCCTTTGATAAATGACAAAGTTATGGACCGGACACGAAATATATCCTGTAACAGACTATGTTAATATTTGACCTCCAAGTGTGACCTTGACATTGAAGGTAGGTGACTGGTTTTTGCGCATGACACATCGTCTGATTATTGTGAACAATTATGGCAAGTATTTACAAAATCCCTTCATAGATAAGAAAGTTATGGACCGGACACGACATATACCCTCAAATAGGCAATGTTGACCTTGAATGAGCAAGTGCGACCTTGACCCTGGAGGTAGGGGTCTGGTTGTTGCGCATGACACATCGTCTTATTATAATAAACATTTGTGCCAAGTTATTTCAAATTCCTTTCATAAATGACAAAGTTATGGACCGGACACGAAAGTGTGACGGACGGACGGACAGACGGACGGACAGACGGACGGAGCCTATTTCTATATCCCCCTTTTTTCTTCGAAAAGGCGGGGGACAATAACACAATATTAGTTATGTGTACCTGATTATTTAGTGTTTTACTGTGCAATATGGCTTTTATAGCAACCTCATAAATGTACAATATACAACCTAATGAAAATCAGCAATTATCTTCAATTTACTGTCAATAAAACACAAATTCTGTTCTGTTCTGTTCCCTATCAAAAAGAACCCTGACTATATTGGACACAAATTCAAATTAATGGCATTGTTAGTGTCGAACACATAGAAACACATTGCGTAGAAGCAGATATTTTAATCTTTTGACATAATATTTCTGGTGAAAGCTTCAAACAGAGCAAGTTACTTTTTCACAGCAGCAAGAATTTCCTCCCAGTCCATCCAGTAGGTGTCTTTGATTCTGTCCAAGTAGTGTGCCACGTTTTTAAGTTCATCACCTTTAAGTAAACATATCTAAACACCTTTAATACAATGTTTTATCAAAACATAAACATAAAAATACCATATGAGCCGCGCCATGACAAAACCAACATAATGCGTTTGCGACCAGCATGGATCCATGCCAGCCTGCGCTGATAAGGATCCATGCTGTTTGCTTTCAGTTTCTCTACTTATAATAGGGTTTGTAAGCGAACAGCATTGATCCTGGTCAGACTGCGCAAGCTGGTCAAAAGCATGATGTTGGTTTTGTCGTGGCGCGGCTCATATCTTTAGTCAGGTTATGTATTACAGTCATAGTACAGGTAATTTATATAATAATGATCCAGATGATGATAATTGTACCAGTTTTAATATCTTAAAATGTCATTCATGTAATCCTGGAAAAAGTGATACCGTTCTGTAAGTAAATTGTTAAAAATTTGCAAGATATTACACAATTTTCTCTGATTGTAACTCTAAATAGCCAATCCAAAATAATGACAATAATTAAGAAACAAGATTGCCGTTGTGTAAAAATGCTATGCCAACGCATTAATACACTTAATTCATTTCTACATGGAATAGAATTCTTTGAACAATTTCACCAAAGGAACAATCTTGGCAAGTTTGGTTGAAATCGGACTAGAGGTTTCTGAGGAGAAGATTTTTTAACGTTTCTATATAATTTATAAAAGACACACACACTGATGAATCGCTATATGCCACCGTATCGCTGACTGCCGTGGCATAAAAACAAAATAACATGACAGCTTGCAATTTTTAACCAAAAAAAAAGTTTGAAGCAGTCATTATATATATTTAACTATCAAACTGGCCTACATTGTATTTTGTTGTGTACTGAACAAGGTGCATGTAAAACGTTTTAATTTCACAATTTTCAGAGTATGATTTTGAATGAAATGTAGCACATAGCTGAATTTACTTAACAAATTCTAAACTTTTTTACTATCAGCTTAAAATATACAAACTTGTCAGGAGTTGACGTCCAGGACAAGACTCCGGAGTACACCAGCGGATCTGAGACAAAATACCAAAGGCTGCACAGTCTGTTTCCGTTATCTTATCGCCCATGATGTACTTCTTATCGCCTGTGAGATAACAATATTGTCTTACTTTAACACCATACATAAATGCCCTTGAAATTCAAGTTAAATGAGCATGATTTAAGAGATAGGAATATACTTGTTGACACTGTCTGGTTAACCAGCAATAAATGTAAAATACAGTCATTTAACTGTATACGGAAATGAGGTACATGTAATTTTTAAACCCAAAGAAATGTTATATTTACAAATGTAAGCCGTTAAGAACATTGACAAAATATGATAAAATAATGCTGAACAACATGACTCTACAAGTGTGAAAAGTTCTCACACTAAACATGATTTTATCAACAGTGCAAAGTGCGCGAGCGTGTTGCATGGAACTAGATTAAAGCGGCCTTCAGCTTTTCTAATAGTTAAATATGTTTTTTTTAAATAAATCAAAATAATTAATGTTGAAAATGAAATTTGCTGTCTTTAAAATACGTAAACAATATGGAAACCCCTCGATTACCCTAATCTACCGGTCCGCTCTCTATATTTAAACTAGTAAAGCAGACGATTTGTTTTCCGTTCTCTATTTTTAGAAACAAACGTCACTACTGCGTTATAAATAGCTCACAGGACGCTGTGTTGAGGATGGCTAAAAGGTGTTATGATGCACTTTTCCGAGATATATTTACTAAAATACTTAAATTGAAACAACATAGTATCGTTTTTCTAACAAAATATAAAAGATGAAGGCCGCTTTAAAGTTTAAACCTCACCTAACAAATCTGAGAACTTTTTTTTTAGATCATTTCGCATCAACTGATGTACTTCCTCGTCACTATGGCGACCAATTCCTACAGTGTAAGATGTTTTAATTATTCCAGGCCGCATAGTAATTTTGAGCAAAGCTGCCACTGGACCTGGCACTTTTAGGAATTTCCGTAACATTTCATCGCCAAAAATTACCCAGCGACTGTAGACATTTAGCCTGAAAAAAATAAGGAAATAAATAAGGCTGGACGCAAAGTTAACACAATATTATAGGCGTTTAAGAATTAAGTAGACATTCCCAAGCCTTTCACTGGTTTGCAATTTTAATACTTGTATCGCACTATCTAATACATATAAAATATACTTTTTATCACGGTATTCCTAATTGGTCGTTTTGCATATTTTGAGTAAAACATGTTAAAAGTATTTTTTTTTACATTGCAACATTTATAAAATAGAGGATATTGAATGAGTGTAAGTTTAATACTGAATTTATTGCACGAGTTGAATAAAATTATATTATGCGAGTGCAACGAGTGCAATAAGTTCAGAAATGAACTTACACGAATTTAATATTCTATTTATCACAAACCCAAAATAAAGACCGTTTAAAGTGAAATAAGAGTCATTTTTCATTGACGCGCCTATAGTATTTATCATGCAACTGCTATGGTAACTGCCCGATAACACTTGCCTGATAATTATTTTTGATATCAGGTCAGTAACCTGATATCAAAAATAAGCCCCGCCCATGTTAACGGACTTTTTTCAATTGCTTAGATCTATATTCTCATTTTCATCAGCATGTGAATTCTACAATGTAATCTCATTCCCTTACAAGTCTTGAATCAAGGTGCGATATTTATTTATTTATTATTTCGATTTCAATTACGAATAAATTAGATAGCGAATAGTTTGAAGTGACGTCATAATTTATATTGCAAATGACATCATCGATGTTCACGTCATACTATACATGTAATCATAACAAACAGGCTAGACAATTTTCTTTGAGAACTTGTAAATGTTTACTTTATTTCGCCGGATTATTATTTAATAAGTGAACAAATTGTTTCGTTTGAAAAATATGACGCATGTTTGTGTAGCTTTTGTTTGATTGCCGATTTGACTTTTCTTTGATTGAAATAATCGAGAACTTTTGAATTTGACAATTCAAGACAAAAATTGCAGTAAAATTTAGTTTATGTGATTCTAAGCGGATTTTTGGATCGATGTTTAAATTAAAGGTAAGAATGTTATCGTATTAGGCCTACATTCTGTTGTATCTTTTATCCGAGTCGAAAGAAAAAATGGCCTCCAATTACAAATTCTAAGTTTCAGGGGCGGAGGAATTTGTTTTCAAGAATTATTTCTTTGAACAAAAATCCCCCTTTTTAACGAAATTCGCTATTTAAAAGTAGATTATTTTGTTATTTTGACAGTTATTATGTGTTACATGATAAATAGAAAAACATGCTACTGTCTTTTGATATCAATTTTATCAGGCTCGGCTGATATGGGCAGAAAGGGCTCGGCAAGCCTCGCCCTTTCTAGCCCATATCAACCTCGCCTGATAAAATTGATATCAAAAGACAGTAGCATGTTATTCTCTATAACGCAAACATTTAGCGCGTCTTTACACAAAGTTTGTATAACGCTAATGACGTCACGTCAAAATATATGCACGGCCGTGAAATACCATATTTACGGAGTCGCCAAATCGGCACGGATGTGTGATAAATAGAGGATATTGAATGAGAAAGCTTCCACGAACCAGTACGTGTATTCTTCCAACCATTTCTGTATCGCCCATGCAACAGCCCGTTCTTGTTTGCTAAGATGACTGTTCATATCAAAGTTGAATTCCTTGTTAAAGTACTCAATTATTAACTGAGAGTCTCCCATTGTAATACCGTTATATTCTATCCATGGTGTTTTATTCTTCGGTCCGCCTTTGTAATTAAAATCAAGCTGAAAATATATGTAAAGTAGAGAAACTGACAGCGAACAGCATGGATCCTGATCAGACTGCGCGGATGCGCAGGCTGGTCTGGATCCATGCTGGTTGCAAACGCATTATGTTGGTTTTGTCATTGCATGGCTCAAATATTGATAAAAACAATAGATATATAGATCATTTGGATATTCTTAATGAAAAAAAAATGTTGATAATGTTCTATGTGATTTAGTATGAACAGTCAAATGATAAATATCATTTTGTTCAAAATACATTTTATTATCTGCTATATAAATACATGTAATATCGGATCATGTACATGTATCTCACACTTGCCAACAACAACCATACATATCATTCTTTCATGGTTTGGTGTTATAATATCAGATACTTAATAGTATTAAAATGTTTACCATAGTATCTCGTGCGCTTCACTTAATTATCTCGTGCGCACCACTTAGTAACGCGTGACCACGGCATAGTTTCTCGTGCATACCACTTAATTATCTCGTACGCACGACTTAGTATTTGGTGGCCACGACATAGTATCCCGTGTGCACCACTTAATTATCTGGTGCCCAAGACTTACTAACGCGTGACCAAGGCATAGTATCTAGTTCGCACCACTTAATTATCTCGTACGCACGGCTTGGTAACGCGTGACCACGGCATAGTATCTCGTGAGTACCACTTAATCATCTCGTACGCACGACTTAGTATTTGGTGGCCACGACATAGTATCTCGTGCGCACGAGATAAATCAAGAAGTATCTTTAAAAAAAGATACTCGGCCGAACTAAAACGTTTTTTGCACTTGGACCGATTTGGTTTGGGGACGAAACGTTCTGTTTGCATGTTAAGTGGTGGTTTCGTTCATTTTTGTAACTCATTAAAGCAGCGAAAAATAATCTGTACTAAGATGCATGGTAAAATTGAAGAAGAAGGCATGGTTAAACAAAACTAAAGTATGTTAAATTTAGCTTGATAGTAAAAGAGCTTATAATTGTATGATACCTTGTCGTTTGTTTCCAGAAATCCTTTAGATCAATTTAGAAGTAGACGCGTATACCATGTCAGAAAAATCCTTTATGTTACTTTAACAATTTTACAATGGCCAATCAGATTCCGAGATTTCAGATTGTAAATCATTAATGACCAATGAAATTTTTACAAATATTAAGCTCTTCCCTGTAAATTTTACAGGAAGTTCAACCCAAAACATACGGCCTGCGGCCGAAAAAAAACACCCATGTCACCTTTGTGCCACCGTACGATTGACCCCAACCCTTAATATTAAGTTATCATCACAACTACGGGTAATAAAACTAAATTCATATACAATATTCTTAACACTCCCTGGTATTTATCAAATTCCCCTTCTATTACTGACAGTTACACGTTTATATTTCGTTTGGGAATGATTGTCGATATTAAAACGTTAATTACATTGGTTTGTTTTGGTTGATTTTCCATCAAATGTATATACAACACAGTTATAGCCGATGTACACAATTACTTTACTGATCATATAAAGACCAGCAATCCAGAGACCCGTGGTTCGAGTCCCGGCTGCGGCGTGCCGATTTTTCGTGCGATTTTTTAATGTATAATTTCCCTCTCATGACTTTCATTCATTGATATATAGAATGTATATACATTCTTAGTGTGATAGTAATTCAGATATCTTCTAGATGAGAGACAATTAATGGTTGCTCATTATCCCGTGGGTTCAAATAACTATATACCAGATTCTACATTACCCAAGATATCCAACGTTGTTAAGCTATCCAACCTGGTTAAGATATCGAACGTGGTGAAGATATCCAACGTGGTTAAGATATCCAACGTGATTGTAACGCAGGAATCCTCAAATAAGGCAGGGATTGTGCAGAAGTAACGCAGGAATTTTGCAAATTGTAAAATATTAACATATTCCTAGAAATAATTGTTAATGCTGGTACATCATAGCAGGCGTATGAGTTTATTTATTTCTGTTAATTTGATTTATGATAAAATATTTTGGTCCGTTTATTTACCCTGTTACTCGTTTTGGCCATGACTTTGCACAGATTCGGCGGTAATTTTTGTTAATTTCACATTGCTGTCACACTGGACTGTGGCAATGTACGACTTTACAGTGACCACAGAAAATGTACAAGTTCGCCGGCAAGCGTGACCAAATCGCGAGAAAAAGACCCAAAATAAATCAAATTCTAAAACCTATGCGATCATAATGCGTTCTCAGGGCGCGCCCGCCGCGACTTCTGGTGTCTAAAACAAACGCCTTGACTCGGCGATCATTGGCGATCATGGCAACCATAGCACGATTCCTTGCGTTTTCACCACGGTAATACCACGCTTATGGCGACCTTAACATACTGTGGGTCTATTTTTCGTCGCCGCAGCAGCGCAGTAAGGACGTCTCTCCGGTGTGACGGCACTATTACTGGATATACACGGTGACCACGCATCCGCCTGGAAAGTCGCCATAGGACCTTTGCGGTGCCCCATTACCCGCAATTTTAACATCAAAGGGATATATCAACGAAATGAAATAATTGTTTGTCATTTACCTGGAACGGTATTTTATGTATCCGCAAATACGTTTCTAACTTCATCACAAAGTGGCCCATATTCGGAATAGTTTTGGTTCGAGGAAACACATGAAGAACAAGCAATTATCATAGTATTGCAAGCAATCCATAAGTCCCCTACCGGTAAGAGCCCATTTAGCAACATTCTGAAGGGCCATTGGCCATTCACTTAGGTTTTTATTTTAAGTAAATTTGTTGAAAAAGTTCTTTAAAAATGATCACAGGAAACAGTTTTTATGTACAGACAGACGGACTGAAGGACACTCTAAAGTTATTTTTTAAACATCCCTGTTATCAATATATAACATTTTTAAAATCCTATCATGATTGAAGAAGTTGGAGTAAAAATTACCAATTTCTCAAAAAAAAGTCTAAGTTCAAAAGGGGCATAATTCTGGAAATAGTCTTGCTAGAGTATTGAACACTCACAAATGTTGAGTGACAATAAGAAACATTTATATGAAGTTTGAAGTAGATACATTCAGAAAAAGAAGTTATTAAAAAAAAAAACAGTTATTAAAAAAAACAATGTTTTTTTCATGAAAATTTTAAGTTCAAAGAAGGTAATTCTGATAAATTTTGTGCTAGAGTTGTAAACCTTGTCACATATGATGTGGTTGATGACAAGCAACTTATATTTAAAGTTTGAAGAAAATACCTTAAGAAATAAAGAACTTATAGTGAAAAAACTTAAAAACTAGAATCAGAAATCTTGAAATTCAGTCTATTTGTTGCCATAGCAACCAGAATTTTCAACATAGGAAGATAAAAAAGGATGTGCATAATTTCCATACTGCCATCTACCCATATGTCAAGTTTCATAAACATATTTTCAGTACTTTTTGTGTTATCACTGGATCCAGGTTATGTGTAAAATTTGCCATATTTTCAGTCTATTTGTTGCCATAGCAACCAGAATTTTCAACATAGGAAGAAAAGAAAAAACGTGCATAATCTCCATACTGCCATCTATCCATATATCAAGTTTCATAAAAATATTTTCAGTACTTTTTGCGTTATCGCGGGATCCAGGTTATGTGTAAAATTTGCCATATTTTCAGTCTATTTGTTGCCATAGCAACCAGAATTTTCAACATAGGAAGAAAAGAAAAAGACGTGCATAATCTCCATACTGCCATCTATCCATATATCAAGTTTCATTAAAATATCTTCAGTACTTTTTGCGTTATCGCGGGATCCAGTTTTGTGGACGGACGGACTGACGGACGGACAAACGGACGGACGGACTGACGGACGGACAGACAGACGGACAGACGGACGGAGGGTAAACCTAAAGTCCCCTCCGGAAAACCGGTAGGGGACTAATAACCTTGTCTTTCGGATAATCTACGCCGCATACTCTGTGAAATAAAGTAATATTATGCATATTCGAATGGTAAATAAATTAAGCCTATCTACAAATGTTTATGCAGAAATTTTGTTTCAACTGTCTCTTCCTTACACAGAAAATAAAAGTAAATACCAGAAACAGTTTCTAGGTGGACTTGTAACAAAAAGGTTTTTGTATATATGTTGATGAAAGGGATTTTTTTGACTTATTTTATAGCCGATATTCAATCATATTTCCCATTAGAAATAGTATAGTATTTTCCCAATCCACAGGAAATAAATCCCAATTGAAAGTTACAAAATAAAAATATTGAATAAAAAATTCTTAAATCTTTGAAAATAAGGGATTCTTCACTGTTATAGTGATTTAATGTTTGAGGCAGACAGTGATTCTTTGCATTCATTAATCAGTGCAAAATTTAAGTCATGCATTTTCTTCCCAATTTATACCAAAACATCGCTGAAATTCCCAATTCCATGGGTAATGGTCATGCTCCAAAATCCTGGGTAAAGTATGTTAAAATGGGAAACGACTCGTTATATTTTAAAATAAATTGACTGCCCTTTTTGTATTTTCTGATCGCAAGATCAGATAAATACATAGTTAACATCCACGGTCTAACACAAAATTTCCTAACAGTCCTAACAACGCAAAGTAGTTCTCACTCAAAACTGCTTAAAAACCAGCAATTTAAAAGAAAGAACAATTTTGTGTTACAAGTGTCCAACAAATGACTACCCATTCAAACTTTAAAAGTAGCGTTGGCTTATAGAATTGTCAATAAATGCACACTCACAAATTACGCGGATGAATATGATTTTAATCAATGAAAATGCTATTTTTAGCGATGTCGATTACCGAATACTACACAAATAAATCTGACTGCCGAGTAGTTGAATATAAAGTTACTACATGTTGGACTGTTTGGGCGATAAGATTTTTGCTAAATTATATACTTAATTTTAAACAACAGGTTTACCCTGAACAAAATACCTCGAAATTACCCTAACCCGAAATGCAATGAAAATTCTAAATTTAGAATGACTTGATTTTATTCAGCCTCTGTTTTTATAACTTCTCCGTGGTGAAGGGGTAACGCGCTCGTTTAATGTGTGAGTGGTCTGGAGTTCAAATCCCAGTCGAGTCAACATTTTTTTAAATTCTTTTTTTAGTGTCTTTGTTAAGGAAATAGCCACGATATGCAAGGATAAAGTGTGGCTATCATAAAAAAATGAAAATTAATGATTTTTTAGCAACGGATTTGTGTGTGTGTGTATTTGCGTTTATTTATACTCGCCACCGGTTGCCCACATGGGCGAGTCCTCCAGAAGAGTATTAGTCATTTTAGATTTTGGGAGGAAAGTGCAATTACAGATACAGAAAGATGCCCCAATTCCAGAAGCTTCTCCTGGTTCTTTAGCGTGCCAAGTGTTTAAGCACCCATACACGGGACCTCGATTTAAAGTCTCATCCGAAAGACTGAAAACCCGGTAATCGAAACCACAACGTCGAGATTACAAGTCTCGCGCTCTAACCGATTGAGCTATGCGGGCTGGCTTAATAGCATTGGGATATACATGTATACAATCATTTATAATCCATATGTGTAATGCATGATCAACACCATACTTGTGTAATTGTCCCTTATTATGTTATCGCTATTAGCGAAGACCCCCTCTAAAGGTATCTGTTCACACTTACTAACAATATGACACTGGTTACATTACCGGTTTACAGACACTTCACCCCCCAGACACTTCACCCTAGGCCCTTTTTTGCAGACACTTCACCCCTCAGACAGTTCACCCCTCATTTTAAGAAATTTGATTAAGACACTTCACCCCCCATTTTTTATTTTGTGTTAAACAACTATTTATCTAGAAATGTTAAATGTATGCAAAAGTTATTGAGTATGTTTATTGTATTAACATATTTTATTATTATTTTATCATGTAATTGACCAAAGACAAGATTCAAGATTCAAATAACTTTATTTGTGTTCAAAGGCCTCAGGCCCAAAATACATAGCATACATACAACAATATAGTAATATGGTTGCGTCACCTTAACAATGTTTATTAATGCGTAAAAAGACTAGTTGTTTATGTTATCCATTAAAACATATACATAAAACATAAGCTTCCTTAATGTGATTATATCACGTGTACCTATTAATACATAAAAATCATGTAGTTCTTTTCCGCCAAAATACCAATTGAATAAATACTTATCACGGATTGGTTTGTATTTTTTACATATAAAGAAAGCATGGAATTCACAATCTATACTATCATTACAAGTTGTACACAAACGTTCTTCCCTTGGGATATTATTATGTCTGCCTATTTCTATACCTAATTTATGGTTGGAGCAACGAAAATTACAAAACGCCTTTTTATGTTTAAATGGTATTTCTATTAATAAGTATCGTTCAACATTTAAAAGTGATTTAAATTTATTATAGTGAAAACATCTACTAGAATTCGTTATATTTTCATACCATTGTTGAGTACAACAATCAATAAGTCTTTGTTTGAAAAGTTTAAGGAACATATTCGTGTCACCAATTTCTTGAGATATCCAGACAAAACCAAAACCATATCTAAACAGTACATGTTTTAACTTTGGTAACCCAACATATTCGACCTACATCGTCTAGTGACTTCAACATAAAATAACACTGTTTAGGATATCTAGATGAAGGCATGGTCAGAAGTTTACAAAAATATCGTATGCAGTTTGTCATGTACGAAATACTTAAGGGCAATCTACCACATTCCCCTAAAAACCATAGCTGTATTTGTAGTTTTTTTTAACAGATAAATGTTTTCGACAAAATCATTATGCACATATTCAATAGTTTGGCTATATTCAAAACCCCATATTTGTGATCCATAGCATAAAATTGGTTTAATCATATGATCAAAAATTTTAAACAATTCATTACTTGGAAAATGACCGAAAGGTTTCTGATAATATTTTAACGATAATATTGCCTTTTGGGCTTGAGATGCATTTTTTCCTTAGCGTGAGTCCATGATAATTGAGGAGTGAAAATGAGTCCCATATATTTATACATAGATGTTATATTTAAGCTTTTACCTCGGGAAATACCATTTCTCATAATTACGTAAAGGACCACCATTACGGAAAACAATTACTTCTGTTTTATCAAGATTAATTCCATTCCAGTATTATAACAAAAAGTGTCAATAACATTTAATTGTTGTTGTAATTTAGATACAGTCTCTGCACAGTTCGCTACATCATCGGCAAACATAAGACATAATATATCCGGTATATCATTAGTAATAAATATTCCTGTGCCACAGTTTTGTCTAAGTAAGATAGACAACTCATTGATAAAAAGAATAAAAAATAGTCGAACTAGATTTATCTCCCTGTCTTGTTCCTATGTTACACGGGAAAAAATCAGTTAAACCATTTTGTGTTTTCACACAAGACTTTAAATCGGAATACATACATTTTAAAACCCGTAAAAAATTACCATGAATGCCTATTTTCTGTAGTGAATCAAATAATTTGAATGGTCAATTTTATCAAAAGCTTTTCGGAAATCGACATATAAACAATAAAAACGACCACCTTTTTTAGACAAGTATTTTTGTATCATGGCTTGTAAACAGAAAATATTATCAATAGCTGAGTAATTACACCTGAAACCTGCCTGACATTCGTCTATTTTATTATTTTCTTCAGCCCAA